TTATGTAATCTAATACCGAAAAGTTATGATAAATTTTTGGACAAATTATCGGATCAGTCGATTGTGAGGACATCGGCCGCCAATCGACAAGTAGTGTCACAAATGCGTGAATTATCACCAAAAATGTCGTTAACAGCTATGGGTTTGTTTAGCATTAATATCAATACATTTGTGTCGTGTTTGGCATTAATTGTCACGTATTCAGTGATACTTATACAGACATCGCAACCAAATGTTACAAAATAATTAATTATTTGCAATTAAATATTATTTATAAAAAATTATTTTTATGTTTTTTATTGCACAATAATTATATAATCTATTATAAATTATATTATTATTTGTTATTAATTAGTACTCAATTTGTGAAAATATTTTTTAATTTTATTTTATTGATATCATTATATAATTAACATTAACAAACCTATTTAAGTCAATAATTATAATATTTTATATAAAAATAATTATTTTTATATAATATAAATAAAAATATTTATTGATTTTAAGTTTCTATTTTATATTATTTGTCAATAAAAATTATACAATTTTATTATTAATATTTTTTATTCAGTTATTTATTTTTATTATTTATGACATTTATAAATAATAACATACATAAAGCAATAATAAGTATTATTATAAGTAATGATTTTATTTTATAACTATTTACATAATATTTAGAATTTATTATAATTTGTTTTCAATATTTCAAATAAAATATTATAATATTGTAATGTAATTATATTTACATTTTTATCAAATTTATAGATTATTATACAGTATTATATTAATAAATTAGTTTATTTAAACTATAGATTATTTACAAACAAATACTCTAGTTTATTTTATTATTTCTATAATATACTAAAAATACTGTTAACTATATCAACAATACAAATATATAGCTATTATATAAACAAACAAATTATGCGTCAATTAATTGGATTAAATTTTTTTGATAAACTATCATAAAATAATGAGCACATCATATATGGGTGCTATTGTTAATAATAATAATAATAATACTAAAATGTTTAATAGAAATTATTCAAAATATTTACAAATATCATGGAACCTGATACTATTACTATTGAGTGCAAGTAATGCTATATATAGTTTTATAATGGTATTTACTAGATCATTGAATAATAATAATCATCATCATGGATCATTAACAAATCAAACCAATAATAATACTATTGATAATAATAATAGCACTACTATTATTAGTATCAACAATAATATCAATCAATTGGTTTATATGCTAAACAATGCTAGCTGGTTTTTTCATACACTAGAAACTAGCTTGCTGATTATGTACATGCTAGTAATGGGCAAAAATTTAATAAAATATTTAGTCAAAATTAACCATGATCATCCAATTAAATCGAAATTAGAATGGCATATTGGTTTGATAATTTGCCTAGTAGAATTTTTATATATGTTATTAGCATCGATGGTATTTTTTACATTATTATACTATTGGACCAATGTAGAATTTAGTTTAATTTTTTATCTTGGTCAAACGTTTACACTATTTTTTACTACTAGTATTAATTTTAATATTATATCAATAATTGCTTATACATGTTTACTAATAACCTATCAAATTGATAATATTTTTCATACAAAAAATTTTGTTTACGATAAAAATCTCAATAATATTTATCAACATATTTATATTATTTATCAATCGGTTCACAGATTTAATAAATTCCTATCAATTTATCTATTATTACATTTAATTATTAAATCAACAATAATTATATCGAGTATATGTAATATAGTATTAACTATCTATGTCTCAGTCTATGAACCGCTTATGCCATTAATCTACTCGTTATTAGATTTACTTATAATATGTTTATTATGTAATCAAATACCAAAAAGTTATGATAAATTTTTGGATAAATTATCGGATCAGTCGATTGTGAGGACATCGGCCGCCAATCGACAAGTAGTGTCACAAATGCGTGAATTGTCACCAAAAATGTCGTTAACAGCTATGGGTTTGTTTAGCATTAATATCAATACATTTGTGTCGTGTTTGGTATATATTGTCACGTATTCAGTAATACTTATACAGACATCGCAACCAAGTTTTACAAAATAATAATTTTATAAATATTTTCATAAAATCTTTTATTTATTTATTAAACACAACTCTTATATAATATTCTTCGGTATTTTAAATTATATTTTTATTTTATGAAAAAATATTTTTAAATTATATAAATTATAAACATAAACATTATTATGATAATTTAAATTACTTATTATTTGTTAATTTATTTAAGTAACTATGAATTTAGTAATAAAAATATTTTTTTAATTTTATTTTTGTAAATAAATAAAACCAAAATATTTAAATTAAAGTTTAAACAGTTTTATATATAATATTTATTTTAATCATTTGCTTTAATATTATAATTATAATTATAATTGATATTCATAAAAGTTTTATAATTATTTGCTATTAAATCATAATCCCAAATATGTCATTCAATTAATTTTATTATACATTTAAAGCAGCTTTTGCCCGGATAAATGTTTTTAATGTATTTTATTTATCTTATTATTATTATAAAAATAATTATTAAAAATGCTTTATTTATTATAACAGTTTATATATTGATTATATACAGTTTATCACAGAAAATATAAAAATTATATATTGATTATAACATATCACAGTATTTTTATTTGTTAATAAAAAAATACATTATTAATAAATTGATTGTTATATAAATTTATTATAATATTTTAATAATCATAATTAAATGTAAATCAAATATTACCATTTATTAAAGTAAACTCATTAATAAATATTATAATAAATAATGATTTTTAATATAATAAATATTTACATTACATTTATTTTCATTTGTTGCACTGAGACTACTATATTTCAAATAGATTATAATATTGATTTAATTTAATTATATTTACAATTTACTAAAATGTTAAATATTTGTATTAATTTATTCAAATAATTCAGTATTTTAAGTAATTTATTTATGTTTTATAATATAGTAAAAACATCAACTTATAAAATGTTGTCTACGTTACTAATATATATATATATATATATATATATATATATATATATATATATATATATATATATATATATATATATATATATATATTAATGTATAATGTATATTAATATAATAATGTATTTTTAATTTTATATACCTGTATATTATATTTACATAAAATATTTTCACTACTGTTACAAAGTTATTAACATATTAAAAATAAGTAATTTTTAATAATTAGTTAACAATTTTATATTTGGCTGAAAATAAATTGTTATCAAATTAGTTTTTTTATTACACACATATTTTAGTAAATTTTATTAAATTATTTAACTTATATATAATATTTTTATTTTTAATAATTTAATAGCAATAACTTAAAAATATGTGTCAATTAAGTGGATTAAAATTTTTAACAAATTTTCACAAACTAATGGGCACATCATATATGGGTATCGGTGTTACAGTAGTAGACAATAATACAATTGACAATAAATTTGGTAGAAATTTTACTAAATCTATCCAGATAATATGGAACCTGATACTATTACTATTGAGTATAAGTAATGCTATATATGGTTTTCTAATAGTATCTACTAAATCATGGACTAATAGTTATCAAGGATCAAATCAAACAAATTATTATAATAATAGTTATAATAATAATAATAATACTATTATCACAAACAACAACAATATTAATCAATTGGTTTATATGCTAAACAATGCTAGCTGGTTTTTTCATACACTAGAAACTAGCTTGTTGATTTTGTACATGCTAGTAGTAGGCAAACAGCTACTAAAATATTTAGTGGAAATTAACCATGATCATCCAATTAAATCGAAATTAGAATGGCGTACTGGTTTTCTAATTTTCCTTGTTGAATTTTTGTTAATATTATTTACATCATTGTCATTTTTTACGGTATTATACTATTGGGTTAGTACACAATTTGGTTTAGGCTTTTATCTAGGTCAAATGCTAATGCTATTTTTTATTAGTAATATTAATTTAAATATTATAGCAATAGTTGCCTACACTTGTTTGATAATATCGCATCAAATTGATAATATTTTTTATGCAAAAAATTTTATTTACGATAAAAATCTTAATAATATTTATCAACATATTTATACTATTTATCAATCGGTTAATAAATTTAATAAATTCATATCAATCTACTTATTATGTCATTTAACAGTCAAAACAACAATAATTATATCGAGTTTATGTAATCTAATATTAGCTATCTATGGCTCAGTTTATGATCCGATTTTGCCATTAGTCTACTCGTTATTAGATTTACTGATAATCTGTTTATTATGTAATCTAATACCGAAAAGTTATGAAAAATTTTTGGACAAATTATCGGATCAGTCGATTGTGAGGACATCGGCCGCCAATCGACAAGTAGTGTCACAAATGCGTGAATTATTACCTAAAATGTCGTTAACAGCTATGGGTTTGTTTAGCATTAATATCAATACATTTGTGTCGTGTTTGGCATTAATTATCACGTATTCAGTAATACTTATACAGACATCTCAACCAAATGTTACAAAATAATAATTTTTATTTCTTATATTTGTTTTTATTAATGTTTTTATTACTAATTTAGTTAACATTTTTTTGTAAAAATATTGAATAAGTATTAAGTTATATTTAATTTTATTTAATAAATTATTATTCAAAATTTATTTAATTTAAAAAATAATACTGGAAATTTTATTATAAAATCTATTAATAACTTATATTGTTATTATGATAATTACTAAGATTTTACTATGAATAATTATAAAAACAATTAAAATTAATAAACAAAAATAATTTTTTTAATGAAATTTAAAAATTCTTTATTAAAATAAAAATAAATTACAAATTTAAATTATATATTTAAAAATAGATAATAACTTTAATAAAAAAATATAAATTTGGAAAAAAATTACTAAATAAACTTA